CTCTATTTCCACTCACCCCAAGAATGGTGAGACGGGGAGAAGATCCTCAGCTACATGAGGTAAAAATGCCCATTACTATTGCACTAATTTCACTAGTGCAGACAGCCATGTTTGGCAGAGACAAAAGGGAATCCGCCTCTGTGACTTTCCTTCATTACACAGATTTGGGCTAGAATTTTCAGAAGATGCTGGGAGCACTGAATGCCCATCTTGAGTTTGAGGGACTGAATGCCAACTTCACCAAGAGTTCTGGATACTTGGCACCTGGAAAAAAATTAGAGTCTTATTGTTTAAAGATGGCATCTGTGACAGGACAGGCCCTGGAGTGACCATGGCTCTCCTAGGGCCACCCTAATCATGCCTGCACTCCCGGTCCTTTACATAACCTCCCCTATTCATTCATGCTGCCATACCTTGATGTTCCTTTATTGTTAATTTGGAGACTGCCCCCAAGCCCTGGATTCTCCCACTGTCCACTACCAATCTAACTGACCCATCAGGGTCTCTGGGTCCTTAGCTTGCTAACTCCAAACTACCCCAATATCTACATGTGTCTCTCAACCACAGTGGACCTACACATGCCTGGCTGGCAATGTGAAACCAGTGGTCACCACCTATGGCCCAAATGGTAAGTCTTGGGCCTCTTAATCATGGCCTCCTGCTGCCCCCATGCCCATGCCTCACTGATGTCACTTGGTCACTGTTTGCCTTCCTATATAGGCTCTGACCTTCTTGACCTTAGCCTATAGGTTACTCTGGCTGTTAACTGGTGGCCTGTGACCACTGGTTCCGGCCTGAACTTTTCAGTCTTAGCCTCTTGTTAGCCCCTGGCCACCTTGAATGTGCCCTCTAGCCTCAGGCTCTGGCTCTCTTAGCCCCCAGCCACCCCTGTTTCCCCTCCCTGCCCCCGCCGTGAGCTCAGGCTCTGGCCTTCTCAGCCCCTGGCACTCTCAGCCCCTGGCTTACCCTATAGCCCTATTCTCAGGATCAAGCCCTGGGTTTCTGGGCCTCAGCTTGCCTGTGCCTCACTCTTAAAGTCAGGCCTGGCCCCTCTCAACCTCAGCCTGCTTTTGCCTCATGCCCCTGCCCCTGACAGGGCTCAATACGTGGCATGCCCCTCAAGCACCCCTGTGATCTCCTTTTTCATCCCTACAGACACATCTGGTCCTCCAATATAAAACTAGAACAAAAATACAAGCAGCAGCTTTAAACTCAGTCACCCCTTCCGGGTCATCATACTACTACTAAGCCACCTCTCCAGTAGCAACACGTATGGGGTGCACGTGCACCCCCTGAGAGTGCTGGTGCACCCCCTGACTGGCCGTGCTTCCCGCTTAGGCAGTGGGCAGGGAGGGCAGCAGGTGGGAGCACCAGTGCCCCCCCGACTGCCAGCCAGGGAGTGGGAGCATCCAATGTACCACAGCCACTTTCAGGAGCAGTGCAGCCGCTCAGCAGTTGGTACGTTTTGCCGTGCAAGACTGGCCGCAGGGGACACCCTTCCCCCCCAGTCACTGACTGGTCGCTTGTGGGGGGGGGCAGCATGTGCCCCCCACCCGACTAAGGTGGCACCAGTCGCCTATGCACCTCCGCACCATCTGGCTGTCTCAGCCCTGGAAGTACCAGACAAGGCCTGCAGTTCGCATGCCTCAGCCTGAGCTGGCAGGAGCTCCTCTCCCTGCCAGGTTCAAGGCTGCACTGCTCTTCTGCTTCAGAGACCCAGGCTTATATCGCCTTCTGGTCAAGGCTGTGCTGACTGACCCCACCTGTGTCCCCTCAGCCTCCAAAGCAGCCTACTTCAGTGTTCTTGCTGCCTAACCAAGGCTCTGTGCTACCATCCTATTGCTAGGCAGCTATTGTGCCCCACAATAGGCACTTGCCACCTACAGGTCTCTGGCTGCCTGCTGTCCTACAGCACGTTGGCCGTGGAACAGGATGGGCTACCCAGGCCATGACCCAACCAACTTTTAGCACGTTAATTTATACAACCCACAAGTGTACAATTGTCATTCCAGTTAAAACTGTATAGCTATTTTTTTTTAACTGCATAGCTAGTTAAATTAACGAGCTAAAAGTTGGTTGGGCCATGGCCCGGGTAGCCCACCCTGTTCCATGTCCTATTCTGCAGCTAGACCATAATGCACAGTCTTCCCCAACCTGGGTATATCCCTGCTGCAGCTTAACCCTTTAGGTAACACAAGCCCCTGGCTCCCTGTTACAACATCTCAAAGGCGGAGGATCCCAGTATTTGAAAGAGTTGGCTTTCATCTTTCTGCTCTGCTAACCACAGCTGGACAGAAAGTGAGTGTCCATTTTGTAGGAAAGAATTCTTACATTTCAAAATTTATCTTAGCATCACACAAGATGAAATTTTAAGACATTTTGATTTGGAAAGGCTGAAGTTCACTGTTTTGTGTTGGTAATATCTAATCATTGTATTTTGATATAATAAAAAGGTTTCTTTCTTTGCAATCATGTTGAGACCTAATAATATAAAATATTGCAAGTAATGTATATTGCAGAAAATATTAAGTGTAATCTATAAAGAGAATATTGAAGTGAAATTCAAACATAATACGAAACTGTAAAATCATAGGAATCAAAAAAGTAGGGCTGGAAGGGACCTCATAAGTCATCTAGTCCAGCCCCCCTGGCTCAAGGCAGAATTATCCCTAACTAAACCATCCCAGCCAAGTATCTGTCTAACCTGTTTTTGAAAGTTTCCAAGGATGGAGATTCCATATCTTCTCTAGGTAGCTTATTCCAACGCCTGACCACTCTCATAGTCAGACAGTTTGTCCTAACCTCCTACCTAAATATTCCCTGCTGCCATAAAGAAAAGCCTATCTCCATCCTCTCTATAATCACCCTTCAGGTATTTGAAGACTTTTATCAAATTCCCTGCCTCAGCCTCCCCTCCTCCAGACTAAATAACCATAGCTCTTTCAGTGTGTCCTCATAAGTTTTGCTTCCCAAGCCCCTAATCATTTTTTGGCTCTGTGCTGGACTCTTTACAAATTGTTAACATCCTTGCTGAAGTGTGGGGACCAAAAATGGACACAGGATTCCAGCTGAAGCCTCAGCAGTGCTGAAAGGAATGGAGAAATCACTTCCCTTTGTTCACAAGTGCCACTCCTGCTAACACAACCCAGGATGTTGCTGGTCTTTTTTGCAACAAGATCATGCTGTTGGCTCATATTCAGTTTATAATCCACCATAACCTTCAGCTCTTCTGTAGTACTACAACCTAGCTAGTCATTTCCCAGTCTGTATTTGTGCATGCGCTTATTCTGTCTCAAGTACAGGACTTTATGAATTTAATTAACTTTTTTAGATGAGATCAGATGAAATTCAACAAAAATCAAACAGTTTTATCTGAGAGATATAAAACACATGTATTATTGAGATGAAATGAAAAAAATCAAAAATGTTTCTAATAGAAAATGTCATCTTGATTAGTAGGTTTCTGCAAGGGACTTTGATTTTGATGACACAGGACTTTTCCTATGGAAAATTGTACCATCACAAATTTTTTGCCCAACTATGCTGTTTGGTCTTCATTCCTCTGTCTCTATAACCTTTTGCTCTTGCAGTGAACAGGAGAGTAAACTTGATTGAGTTCATGAAGGCAGTAAGGACTGCCCAGAGAAAGTCCCGACTTGAAGGTGAGTGAGGACTTGGAAATGAAGACGGGTAGTGGGAGATAAGGATGAAGTGCCACATTTGATTTAATGCTCATTGCCTTCCTCTGGGCAGCAGTGGGCAGGTTCCAGTCTCTCTGCTTGGTATTTAGCTGCTGCCTTAAAAATAATTTGACCTGAATCTTATTTGCTGAAGAGTTTTGAGTCACTTGCCCAATTGATAACACAAGGATCCAAGCATCAGAAATGCTAGGAAAGCAGTAGGTGTTCCTCTCCCATTGATCTAGACTTTTGTACTGGATGCATCCCCATGGCATCTGACTACATACAGCATTGTTTTTGCAGCTCCACAGTGTAGCATTAGAGGGGTTGCTGGGTATATAGTTGTTCTTACAAGATCTAAAAATCAAGATCCTCCTCAGAGCTGTGCTTAACCTACACATTTTTAATGTGCAGTTGATTTGTGGGGTGTGTGTGTGTTAGAGGCAGATCTGAAGTCTTTCACCAAGATTTTCAAAGCTGCCTAAGGGATTTAGATACATCGTTCCCATTGGAATGGCTTTGAGGTGTGCATTTAAATCCCCTTGACAGCTATGAAAACCAGGCCATCACCTATATAGCAGAAGCAGGATGGGCCAGGACAATCTGTGCAGCTCACAAAGGATTAGAAGCACAGGATTCAGGATTTAAGGTTCAGGAAAGAAGGGCTCTCCAGCTAGGTCAGGGCTGGGCTCTATACAGTCTGATACTCATTCACACCCGAGTAGCTTTACACCACTCCGTGTGAATTTAAGTGAAATTGGCATCAGTGTCAAGCTCTTTTACATTTCCAGAGTAGTGTTAAGCAGCGTTAGGCATCATCTACACACTGTTCATGCACTGACTTAACTGGTTTAGCAACCAGTTGAGTAAAATAATGTACATCCAATATGCAGGCAACAAGACTGAGTGCCTTAAACTGATTTAGACTAAGTCATTTGTTTTACTGGCCTAATCTAGATCAGAATATAGCATCCTTAGTCCAAAAGAAGTGCCCATATACAGGGGGGGAGCAGAGTGGGGAACTGCATCAGTTCAGAAATTGATTTAGTTAATTCAGTGTGTGAATTGTGTTTCTACCAGTCCTTAGTGCAAATGAAAATCAGGCTTTATATATTTTGAACCCTCTAGTCCCAACTCTGTGCTGCTTAAAAAAACCCAAAACAAATGTATGTTGTCAGCAAAAACAGAGGAGTATGCGGGGAGTTGAGTACCCTGACAGCTCTGCGCTGGATAATGACACCCAGAGCCCCTGGAATTGCCTTTCAGTAAATTAACACATCCATCCCTTACCTCCCAAAACTAGTTCATGTTATTGTTATGAGCCAGTATAAAGGCTCTGTCCTTCCCCGTGAGAGATATTATACTGTGTTAAATATTTTTCACTCCTCTAAGGAGAAAAGGTCGATGTCAATACCCTGGACTCCACTCTGGCCAACATGGGGATCTGTTTAACTGCAGAGGAGCTTCAGAAGGTGCTGGGACAAGTTACCATTAGTTGTAAGTAATGCAGTAAGTCTCTGTGGTTTTTTCAGTGGACCCTATGCCAGGGAATATGTGTATCTGTGCCCTTGTGTACATGGCTGGGTGTGTATGTGCACATTTGTATTTGAGCTTGGTGTAAATCAGGATACGGGGCAACTCAGTCATTTAAACCTGGTACGAACACACTTGGGCCCCAAGCCAGATCTGGGACTTGGGGCAGTGGTGGCCACCATAGCAGAAGCAGCCCCCACAGCAAGAGCAGGACAAGCAGCAACAGACCAGGTGACCACAGAGCAACAGAGGGCTGTGCGACATAGCCCTCACTCATCCCCCTGCTGCCAGTAGCCATGTCTACCAGGGTACCAGAGCCTTGAATTCTGCAGCAGGCCACAGACCCTGTTAGCCAAGCCTGCAGATTCCCTGGCCCACTGGTAACCCAGTGGGCCAGGGTAACCCAGTAACCCAGTGGGCCAGATCTAGCCTGTGGAGCTCCTCAATCTGTCCCATGGGCCATATGTTGGACACCTTGGATTTAAACTAAAACTCCAGGATGGAACCAAGTAATTTCTCCAATGTAATAATTTATTTTCACCCCTGTCTTGGTTCTCCCATAAGCTACATTTCCTCTTTTCCTTGGCCAAGACTTCATTTTTGGGTGTGTTCCCTTTCTTTGAACCCATTCCAATTTAAGTTCATCTGTTGTGAACACTAGTGACCAGAACTGCACATGAGGTGCATCTACACATCACTGTACTGCACTGTGCTGTGCTTTAGCACTTCCTTTTGGCAGTGCTAAAGTACAGTGCCACAACTGCACGTACTGCACCATGCGCATAGCACACTATTAGATTTCACCGCTGTTTCACCATAGTGGCACAGTAAGAGCACAGCACTACAGCGAAGTAGCTGTGGATCATGTGTAGACTCACGTGATCACTACATCTCCGTAGTGCACCATACAGTGGTGCAGCATGTTGTTACAGTGATGTAGATAAGGGCAGCATGTAGACACACCCATAGTGCTCCAGATGGGGTCTTACCAATACTTTGCACAACAGTACCAATACCTCCTTGTCTCTACTGCATATACCCCACCTAATATACCCTAGGATTGCACTAGCCTTTTCATAAGTAGCTCATGCCCATCCTGAGACTGACCAATACATGCAGGTTCCCCTCTTCCTCAGTTGTCCTCAGTCTGTGTACATCATCTTATAACCAAAGCCCTTGTTTATTGGTACTTATATGCATGACTTCAAGCTTCATGCTGTTAAACTTCATTACTAATGCTCCATTCCACAAGATTTAAATCTTACTTTATAATTGCCAATACAGAAGAAGACTGGATAATGTGCCTTGCTTAGCATTATCTGCAAACCTCATGAGAACACATCTAGTTTCAGTTCTAAGGTTGTGTCCAAAAATGCAAAACATGAAAGATCACAAGACTGATCCCCAGGGAACAAAACTAGTAATCAGCCAGAAAACTCTCCTTTTCACAGAACTTACTGTAGTCTCCTGTAGGTTCAACTCCTTGTGTCAGGGTGTTAAATGTGCGGTCTATAGGCTGCATCTGGCCTGCAGAACTGCTTTATCCAGCCCACCGCACTATTGCAAGCCATTGGAAGTCAGGGGTGTGTGGCCCATCAGAATCCAGGACCCTTGGGCCCCAGGCAATGTGACAATTAGTGACAGGAGGGCAAGCAATAGTTGATACAGCCCTAGTTGCCCTTCAGTCACTTTGCCTGTCGTCACTGCTATGGCCCTACTTCCTTGGCCTTCAGTCCCAACGTTGGAGCTGCCACTACCCCCACTGCATGCCCCAAGCCAGAGCTAGAGCTGCTGCATCAGCACAGAGTAAACAACAGCAGTAGCAGCTCTGACTCCAGCATGAGGCATGCCTTGGTAGACAGAGCTGTGCTGTTGGTGTGTGCCACAGCCAGAGTGGTCGCTGCTGTTGCTATATGCCCTGGGATAGAACCAACCCTGTGCCCTGGACTGGGCCCAGCCCACAAGGAGCCCCACAGTCTGGATCCCATCCAGGGTGAAGGTGTGTTTGATACCCTGCCTTACGCATTTCACAATTTCCGCATTGATCTCCATCCTTTCCAATTTAGTTTGTCATTTCCCCTGAGGTATAGTATCAGAAGCTTTGCTTAGATCAATAAGTTAATTCCATTGCATTGCTCTTATGCAAAAAACTATTATATTGCAGAGGAGGATATTAAATCAGTATGACATGACCTTCTGTGGATAAACTTATGTTGTATTTTGTCTCATTTTCCGTTTCCTCTCGTGTCTTTGACTATTCTTTCTTTCAGTATCTACAACCTCATGTACCATGGAAGTGAAACTAAGAGGCGTGTAATTGACTAAAGTGCTCTCTTTCTCTCTTTTCTGAAAGTAGGTTCTACATCTGTTCCCCTACTCCCCCAGTCACAGATCACTGTCAGCAAGCTGATGGATTTGATAAACATCCATGCTAGAGAAGTTGCTCTCAAGTGCCAAATCCCTCAAGATTCTAATGTAGAGATCATCTGTCCCCACCCTGCCTCAGTCTTGTTAGAACAAGTAATACAGATTTTACTGCCACCTCAGATGTGGCAACCATCAATCTTCCTGGATTGTAGTATATGTATGAGGGCCACCGAGACCTTCAATGCATATGTCTGGGCAGGAATTTTGGGGGGAGTGGAGGCTTACCTCAGATGTGATACTATCTATATTCACATCCTCCTTGCCATGCAGTATGCCACCAAGTTCCTCTGTTTCCTTTTCTTCTTGATTTTGACTGAGGCAAAATTTTCATTCAGTTCCTGGACCATACCCTTATTGTCCATGATCTCCATGTCATCTTCAGCATACAAGGGCCCTGATTCTTCCAAAGAAGTTTTGGCTGTTTATTATAATATTCTTTGTTAGATTGAGCAATGGCTTAGCTGAACTCATTCTCACTTTATTCCTGCATTCTTCGAGGAAAGAAAGATTCATAGATTCATAGATATTAGGGTCGGAAGGGACCTCAATAGATCATCGAGTCCAACCCCCTGCATAGGCAGGAAAGA